GAATACCTTGGAATTTATCATTGAATCTACAAAATTCAATCCTCTTAAGGCGTTCTCCCAAACACAAAGGCACGGTGTCTGGCCAACGAATTAGAGCTATATCCTGTGCTCGAATAGATGCTCAGGTGCTACTTAAGTAAGTGTAACGTACAGGTGCTACTTAAGTAAGTATAACGTAGAAGAAAAAAAATAGTTTGTTAGCAAATTTATTATTTGCTTCCTAATATAGAAAACAAATATAGCCTCTAAATGAATGAATGACCAACTCTTTAAGTTGGGAAGCACTTTTAAGGATGCCCGACAATATTCAGGAATCACAAACCCTCAGCTCCAAAGTCTCCCATGAACCAAATAACAACAACTCTTCCAAAGATACACAGTTTTTGAAGAACCATCTCATGGAATAACTACTAGGTAGGATTAAATCTTACGAGGGGAACTCCTACAGATTAAGTAGTGACACATGTTCAGAAAGTAAGGTTAAGCCAAAATAAGACATTCACCGACCTTTTTAGATTTTTGTACACAAACTTGCATTCTGAACATTTATTGAATCCTTCAACTTTTTCTCCGATTGCTGGAATATTTGGAGCTATGCTTCGCAATCCAAAAAATACTATCATTTCCAACGTCCCGTCATGCCTTAGAAAGTACTCAGTCAGCTGAATATCTTGCAATTTATCAATGAATGTACAAAATTCAATCCTTGTAAGGCGTTCTGCCAAACACCAAGGCACGGTGTCTGGCCAACGAATTAGAGCTATATCCTCTGCTCGAATAGATGCCTAGGTGTTTCTTAAGTAAGCATAACGTTGATGAAAAAATTACTTTGTTAACAAATTTATTATTTGCTTCCTAATCTAGAATACAAATATAGTTCTCTAAATGAATGAATGACCAACTCTTTAAGTGGGGAAGCACTTTCAAGGATACTCGACAATATTCTGGAATCACGAACCCTCAGCTCCAAAGTCTCCCATTAACCAAAGAACAATAACTCTTCCAAAGATTTACAGTTTTTGAAGAACCATCTGATGGAATAACTACTATGTAGGATTAAATCTTCAGAGTGGAACACCTTCAGATTAAGTAGTGATACATGTTCAGAGATATAAAAAAACAATACGTTCTCTAAGCTTCAGCACCACAAGTGTTGTTGATGTCAACACTTCTTGAGGTAATCTTCCATTGGAGCATTTACCGACCAATTATCAATTTCCTTCACTTTCTTCCATCTTGCAGCCCGAATCATCGCATGAATAACACTATCACTAAATTGGAAGTGGCATCTGAGGCTAAATTTATTAACACTGTTTTAGAGGAAAATTTGTCTTAACCTGAACATTCTAAAGTGTAAACTATATTCCCGATAACTTCTGTTAATACGTTTCAATGGGTCATCCAATACTATATTAGGGAGAGTAAGGGAAAGGCTTATCAATCTGCTGGATCGAGTGGAGGTTGCAAAGCAGACTTGGTTTCAAGTTTTTACAATAAATGGTGAAAGATATATCCATGTAGTGAACTTATGTGAGTAGAAATACATTTTGAACCATGAGATTTGGGTGCTCTCGATCTCGAATCCTACAATTATTAACATATACACACGCTATTAGTTTCAGAAAAGAAAATAAGGGCTATTAGGAAACGAAAGTCTCACAATACGAAGCTAACGTTAGTGTCGGCGTTGGAGGAGGTGGAAGTGCGATACCATTTTGTAAAACAAAATTGAAATTGACTTGAGTTTGAGAGTTGATTTAAAAACAAAAATATGAATTTAAAACACATAACAAAGAAACTGAACATAAGTCATTTAAAACTAATCCATGACAAGTACATGTTATTGAAAGCTCAAATCAATTTTCTCATAGAATGCCAAGACATGTGAGACTTCTTGGATGGAAGCTATCCAAAACTAAAACAACTGCAGAAACTGATGGATCAACAATAGAGGAGTCTAACATAAACCCACAATATGTTATTGAATTTTATTTTTCTAGTTTGATGTTTCTTTCTATCCCCTCCTACTCCGTTTATGCTTGGACTTACTGTTACCATTGTAACTTTTCTCCTTTTCTAGTTGGACTTCTGTATAAATTTCATAAACCCTAAAGCAAGTTCTGATGTCATTTCAGTTCAAAGTTGCAGCTGTTGTCAACTTAGTTGATGAAACAAAACCTGCTGATGTTTCCTCATAAATGGCAGTGAATATGTTGATGACCGTCTAAGTTTCTCTAACTCCAAAGGTAGGAATTCTCTATCGGGATTTAACGAAAGCCTTTTTTCTACATTTATGTAGTGGTAAATGTTGGTGCATTTAATATTCAAAACTCATTCACGATGTTTTCCTTTAATAGGTTTTCTAGGTTTTGGGAGTTAGGAAAATGAAGAGGTTGGAGGTTTGGAAAATGAATGATGAAAATGTTCACGTGTTTATGACATCTCTTTATTTTGGGTGGCATATTTTTACCTATAAATAGGATCATTCCTTGAACATTCATCACTGCCAAAAAAATTACTCTTCTTTTTTTTCTCCCTACATTCTCACTCATTTTTCTTGAGATTATTGAGCAAAAAATGGTGTTTCTTTTAGTGGAGTTTTGAACTCAACTACTTGTGCAATGTTTGTTTGAGCCATACAACGAATAATTGGGCTATTGTATCCTGGAGGGGACAAGTCATAGAAAAGTTCCGCAGCTCCGTATTTTAGGCTTTGTCAATCGAAGAGGGCTTGTATCTCCTTAAAGAGAGCGAGATATCTATCCGATTTCGTTATCTTTCTATTCATTTTGTAACTCTATTTTTTATTATTGAAATATTTCACAGACCCATTTCATATTGTCGGCAATTGCATCTCATCAAAGTCGACTAATAATTAGTTTGTTGAAAAATTTATCATTTGCTTCCTAATTTAAAAAACAAATATGACTCTCTGAATGAATGACCAACTCTTTAAGTTGGGAAGCACTTTCAAGGATGCCTGACAATATTCGAGAATAACGAACCCTCAACTCCCAAGTCATCCCATGGAACCAAATAACGACTCTTCCAGAAATTTACAGTTTTCGAAAAACCATCCCATGGAATCACTATCAGGTAGGATTAAACATTCTAAGTGGAACACTTTCAGATTAAGTAATGATACAAGTTCAAAGATATAAAAAACAATACATTGTCTAAGCTTCAGCACCACAAGTGTTGTTGATGTCAACACTTCTTGTGGTAATATTTCATTAGAGCATTTTTCGTCACCAAATATCAATCAACACTCTAAACGAATGATTCATTCAATTCAAAATTGTCATTAATGTTCAAGAAATAGCATGTTAAACTAGCATAAGCATGACAGTCATATTCTTCCCCCACCCGCCTTCATTGGGACCCAATGCCAGGAAAATATCAATATTATTGGCTCAATAGCTTTCTTATTGAAAATGGGATCTGAATCTGATAAAACAAAAAGTAAAAAGAACGTAAAGTAATATTAAATTGCTTGAGCATTATTTTCAGCCTTTCACAAACACAGAACATACTATAGCTTTCAATAGCAGATGCATACTTCCTACTCTAGAACAACAAAAACTATGGAAAACATGGAAATTGATGATCTTCTTCAGATCGACAATAGATCACTTTCAGTGGAAAAAAATTATGAGTAACATAAAAAACACCAGAAAATACTACCAAGTGACATCAAATTTACTGATGATCAATGGATCGATTTAGTCACTGGTACTTCATCTCGGACATCTTGAATCCTGGCATGTCGAAGGATGACGAGAATTTCTCAACATCAGCCTTGAGTTCCTCAATCTCTTTGTTGTTCACAAGGCCTTTGTTGAAGTCCTTCAAAAGCTTCCCATACTCCTTCTGGATGTTCAAGGTGATGGACACGGCCCGGTGGAGGAATTCAGCAATCTGCTCAAAGTCTTTCTCGACCAGACCCCTAGATGTCATAGCAGGAGCCCCTGCAAAGAGAAAACCATGTTACTTGATCAAGCGAAGAAGTTGTTCCTAAATATCAAGGAATGTGTAATTTGATTGGGAGCTCCATATATTGAGTGAGCTACACCCACAATAATTACATTCAAGCAAGATATTCCTACTTAACTATGATATTGACATATGAGAGTATATCTAAAATCATTACAATGTCAAAGTAACTTTGAAGTAATACAACCTTCTCACAATGTTCTAAAAGAAACGAAACAAACCTTATTTAACTACTGTTTGCCTCATTAGTTTAGCTTTCGACCAATAATTTATTGAAAAAACAAGTTGAGTGAAGTTTTAAAAAATCTTGAATAAATTACGTTTTCTACCTCCTCAAGAAATCACAACTATATACATAGTAACTCTTACCAATGCGAACTCCTCCAGGCGCCAGTGCACTGCTGTCACCAAAAACAGCATTCTTGTTAACGGTGATGTTGCTCAGGTCACACAACTTCTCAACCTTGTTTCCTGGGAATACGACACCAAATAAATGTGTCCATGAAAATTAACTCTCTACAAACACTATCTTGTATAAACTACTTAAATTTAAAGACATTACCAGTCAATCCAAGAGGGCGAAGATCCCACAGGACCAAGTGGTTTTCAGTTCCACCAGTGACGAGCTTGTATCCTTTGCTCATCAGATAATTGCCAAGGGCAACTGCATTGGCCCTGACTTGCTTAGCATACGCCTTGAATCCAGGAGACATTGCCTGTTTCAGGGCTACAGCAAGAGCACCAATCTGGTGGTTGTGGGGACCACCTTGGAGGGACGGGAATACAGCAAAGTTGATCTTGTCCTCGAAGTCATAAACTGCATCCTCCGGCTGGCCTTTCTTAGGTGGCTTTGGACCCTTCCTGTAGAAGATCATGCCGGCCCTAGGACCTCTCAGACTCTTGTGAGTGGTAGTTGTGACAATGTCACAATACTCAAATGGATCAGCCGCTTCCTGAGAACATTAAACCATGATCAAGAATGTTAAATAAAAGCGAATAATTGTATAGGATTTTATCATTATTCAAACCTTTTAAAGCCTGTGCATAGAGAATCACAATGCAGAAACCAAATTTTAACCAAATGTATTGTGTATATGCACGTTGAAATAAAATGAAGATTTGAAGAAATGGAAACATCATAAAACAAAGTAAAGATACACAATTGCACCATGGAATTAGCAACTTATGGTTTCCATTTAAAGATCTGAACATAAATATTGAAATATGAGCACTATTTTTACAAGATCAAATGAATTCTGAGTTCCATATATATATATATATATTGTGTGTGTGTGCGCGCGCGTGTGTGCGTGTGTGTGGTTTTTTTTCCAAATGAGCACTATTTTTACAAGATCAAATGGATTCTGAGTTCCCTTCCTAAACTTGAAAATCCAACACTCGAATCAATCCAAATCAGAATTTCGAAAAATATCATTCTTTTCGATTCTTGTTTCTGCTCTCTGGATCTACATCTAAATTTTTGTAGGCGTCAAAATGTATTTCAGCAGCTTGGAAATGCAAAACCAGATCGCTATGAAGCATGAAACATGTAAATCCTGATTAAGAAAACCTGCAATCTAGGTTCCATCATACATATCAAACCATAAAAATATAATTAAACCAACTCAATATGATAAGATCTTGATGTTGAAAAGCCAGTTACTGTTACCTACACTCTCAACCATGAAAAGGCTAAAATACCATATATATATCTTAAGATCCAAATGCACAGATTTTGATCTAACAAATCCAAGACAATTAGACAATTTAATAACAATTTTCAGGTCCATAACAATGAAAAGTAAACAAATCAAATCCATTAAAAATCTTGAATACCTGAGCAGCAACAAGCCCACTAATGTGAGCCATGTCGCAAAGCAAAAGTGCACCGCATTTATCCGCAATCTCCCTGAACCTCTTGTAATCCCAGTCTCTGGGATAAGCACTTCCTCCACAGATAATCAATTTAGGCCTGAAATCCATGGCCTTCTCCTCCAACCTATCGTAATCAATGTACCCCGTCTTCGAATCCACCTTATAAGGCAAGCTCTCGAAGTAAATCGAAGTGGCACTGATTTTCTTCCCACCGGAGGTATAATACCCGTGTGTCAAATGCCCTCCAGAAGGCAAATCAAGACCCATGATCCTGTCATGAGGATTGAGCACAGCCGTGTATGCGGCGAAATTTGCCGGAGAGCCACTGTAGGGCTGCACATTGACACCCCACTTTGTGGGATCGAGGCGGTAGGCCTGGAGAGCGCGGGAACGGGTGAGATTTTCGATCTCGTCAATGTATTCATTTCCTCCGTAGTATCGATTCCCGGGCATTCCCTCGGAGTACTTGTTAGTGAGAGCGCTGCCAAGAGCCTCAATGACGGCGAAGGAAGTGAAATTCTCGGAGGCAATCAGCTCGATGCCGCGGCACTGGCGGCGCTTCTCCTTCTCGATGAGATCGTGGATCTCGGGATCCACGGCGGCGAGAGGGGTGTTGCCCCAGGTGGATACTGGATCCATTTTGATGAAGATTGCTAACTGGGGAAATGGAGAAATGGGAGAGAGGGTGTCAGGTGAGGGAGCGGGCAAGGTGGAGTGCGAGATATGGCCTTGATTTAACGAAGTTCGTGGGGTTGCGTGGAATGCGTAGGTGAATGGACAAAAATGTCCTTTGGTGGTGTGGGTGGATATTCCTTTTTTATTGTTTGGTCAAGTGGTTGGACATGATCTAGTTCGATGGAGAATTAACCCAAATCGAGTATTAATGTTTATTTTACAAATGGAAACCTTTGATTTGTTCCTAAGAATGGAATCGAGTAGGAACAAAACAGTTCGATTCCAATTTCGACGCAAGCCAATTTGATTCATCCTACTAAAGTTTTAAATTGGTAATGATCATAGGTCAAGAATTGGGACTTTGGAATAAAATTTGTTGATAGGAACATTTTCTTAATTTATCTAACTTCTATTTTTCTAAAAGTTATTTTTATTTAATTAGTGAAAAGTTAAGAAGTCGCTCAATGGGTAGTTGGTGAACATGTATTTTCATGGCATTTAAAAGTAATGACACTAATTTTCTATTAAATTACGGTTTCAATAAATGATAAACTTATCATATACCACATGTTTTAAGTGTTAGAGTTATCTAACACGTGTTGGTCGATGTTCGATCAATCATAATCAATACTAACAAATAAATAAAAAGTAGTGAATTGTGTAAATACGTATCAAACATGTCAAAGTGAAGATAGGTGGCATATTAAGCCCATGTTTGGTATTGATTAAAATCAGATTTTAATCTAAATTAAAATCAAACAATCAATATTAACCACATATTTTATCGGTCTCACAACTTTTCAATCACGCATTTCATCAATTTTTATTAAAATTTACTAAAAATCTAATTTTAATATATACCAAACAAGGACTTAATATGCAAGATCAAAATAATCAGACAATTTTAAATAAACAAACATGTCGGTATTGCATAATCCAATATAACAAACACTTTATTTTTGTCTTTTGTCCCTGGGTTGGTAAAAAGATGGTTGTCGCTGCCCTTTTCCAAAACTCCGTTTTGGGAGTTGTTGAGGGCAAATTCGTCTCAGAAGACACCAACCTCCGATGTGGACAACATCCAACCTCAGTTCACCCAAATATGACGGACAGTTAGATTTAGAGCCCGTTTGATAAAAATTAAAATCTAATTAAAATTAAAAATATAATCATTATTGGGTCTCACTCATCTAATAAAAGTTAACAATAACTGCTAATTTTTCAATTTTAATTCGATTTTAATCTCTACTGAACACGCCCTTAATTAAATTAGTCCAGAATTAACAATATTTTCATTAAGGCCTTTTGTACACGCAGAAAAATGGATATTGATATAATAATTTTTAAAAAGTATTTGGTCAAAAAGTAGGAATTTTTTTCTTATTTTACATACAAAATATTTTATGATGAGAATACAAGAGTAAAAATAAGTTTGAGAAAAAATAGATCCGACTTAACAATAGACAAACAGAGGCAAATTTTATGTAAGGTATAAACAAAAGAAAAACACGTACAACCATGGTTTAGTATGAAATTTGTATTATTTATCATATCGGACTTGATTAAGTAATTTCTTGAAATATAAAAAATAATTTGGCAACATTTCACCAAACACGCAACAACCAACTGAGATCTATTCTTGTGGCCCATGAATACACCACTTGATCTAAATTCAATTCTTTGTTTAAAAAAAACAAAAAAAAAACAAAAAACAATACAAAACGTTATTCAACTCACTCGACATTTTCCTTTCTTTCATGTCAAAGATAAATTCCTTAATAAAAATTTGTAAGAGCAAGATGGTCATTATTTTTAGATGATTTGTGTTACGGCTCGTCCCAAAAAGCAGCTCATGTGACAATCAATTAGGTAACAACAAAGTAAGAAGCCATGTAAGGTTCACACTTCGCATCAACTCGTCTCTCTCACGCTCTCTTCAAAGCAATTAGGCAACATGACAAAGTGATTAGGGCATCTCGTTTATACCACTATAAACAAACACAATTATCGAAGTATCAAAATATTACCATGTTGTTTATACGGTCTAATCCTGTATTTTCCGTTTTAGAATTTTTTTTTTTAAAGAAACATATATGTGCTTCTAATAAAGTAATAGTGTCAACATAATTGCCTCACTGTGTTGCTAGTTGACACAAGTGATAACCATGAAATGTGAGGAGGGGAATTCATCAACAAAAAATCAACATGAAATGTTATGGTGTATATCATGGGTGACAACCCCCTCATATAGGGGGTGGGTCCGCAATTTTAAAAGTCACGGGCCCCACCCATATGCGAGAAGGCTGTCAAACTGAATGTACACCAAGGTGCACATTCAACATTATTCAAAATAAAAATCAACGGCCCACATCTTCACTTTCAGACTCCAAATCCAATGGTCCAAACTATCCCTCCTCTCAAACCAGCTTTTCTTTTTCGTTTTTTCAAAGGGGAGAAAACGTTCAAAATAAAGACATCAACATACATGTCTTGTCATATTAAAATAAAAAGAAATTTGCACTTTCCGTTCTTAATATTTGCAAACTGCTACTTATTTACCATAGCATCAAACATCCTTGATCTTTTGAAAATATAGCAAATCGTCCTTTTTCGACCGTTAAAACTACATAAAATGATGCATTTGCATATCTCTAAAATAATACAAAAAACAACTAAATAAACACATCTCTACCTCGAAAGCTTGGTTCCATAAAACCTCCACATGGCCCATTTTAATGGTTTTGATGATGTCACGTGTCAAGCATTCAATGAACATCTTATTTCATCTTCTCTTTTAATATAAAAGCTCACACGAAATACCATTCAAACGCAACGTAACTATGAGCACTAAACTCATCATTACAATATTCGGAATTCTATATTCGAATTCGACACTTGTATTCTAGTCCATTATGTCTCTCAAATGCCTAAATATATATTATTCATCATTTGACATGAATGTCGAAGTGTCCCCGATCATTGCATCCTGTCAGAGCCACTATCATGAGTAGTCTAACGTGATTGTCCAAGTGTGCAATTAACCCGACTCACCTTTACTTGATTAATAAAGGAAGTCACACTTGTACGCTTAGAGCATCTCAAATATTAATATGGATTGCCTACAATGCACCGGGTATAAAAAAATGTAGACAATGTTTACAAAAATTCTCTCAAATGTAAGTAGAATATGTGTGATGTTTTAGCACGCCACACCAGTGGTCCACATACACGAGCAAAAGACTGTAAGATAGTTTCGACTTTTTATGGATTAGTCGACCTCTAATATTGTCCAATTTTGTTCAATATTAAGCCCCCGTTTGTTCAACATTTTTTTTTCATTTGTATATATATTATGACCGTTACACAGTAAAGCAGCTGACATTTTTGACCCCTTTTGTGTGATAATGGGGCCCAACTGTTTGAGAAAAAACAGTCAAAATTTCTAAGAACGAGAAAAAAATATAGAACAAACAGGGGCTAAGTCTCTGTTTGACAATCATTATTTGAAGTCTTTTTGTCTAGATAATCATTTTCAATCAAATATTCACTCAATAAAATATTTTGTATGTAAATACAAAATTTATTCATACTTTTTAATCATATATTTTTCTAAAAATTACTACTTAAAAGTATTGTTTTTCTCAAATGATGATCATTAAACATGCCTAAAAGGGTGCCTATAAGCGGGACCCTTTTCGTTGTTGTATTACTTGAAGTACACACGATTTCGTAAGTCGCGGTCCCAATTGGAATCGGATTTTCAGCCTTTTCTTCACCCCTCGCTCGTGCCTCGTATGCACCGACACCTTAAATTTGCTATTTTTAGCACCACAGGAATTAAAAAAGTGAGACACAGGCGGGATCCACGCGGTCCAATGCATTTTTGGCTAGATCTAGATCTGAAATATATGACTACAACTTTTTTTTTCCTTTTTCTTTTTTTTAAAAAGAGAGTAATTTCATCTTTCCAAATAGAGTGGTAAACTCTATTTACAGTCACTTAAAATTTTAATTGCTTTGCTAAATTTTATTTTTCTTAATTGAATCACTTCAATTTAATTTTAAATCTCACCACTTTATTACTTTTTGTCACCTATTGTCTCATCGACTAACAAAGCTACTTGTACATAAGGGTGTCCATCCTCTCACATGGTGTGGACACCACATGAATAAAATTCTTTTTTTAATCATGCAGGGTCCACCCCATGTGAGAGGGTGGACACCCTTATGTACAAGAAATTATGTACAAGTAGCATAGTCCAGAATTAACAATATTTTCATTAAGACACGTAGAAAAATGAATATTGAAATAATAATTTTTAAAAAGTATGTGGTCGAAAAGGAGTAATTTTTTTTATTTTATGCACAAATTATTTTATGATGAGAATACACGATTAAAAATAAGTTTGAGAAAAAATAGATCTGAATTAACAATAGACAAAACAGAGGCAAATTTTATGTAAGGTATAAACAAAAGAAAAACACGTACAACCATGGTTTAGTATGAAATTTGTATTATTTATCATATTGGACTTGATTAAGTAATTTCTTGAAATATAAAAATTAATTTGGCAACATTTCACCAAACACGCAACAACCAACTGAGATCTATTCTTGTGGCCCATGAATACACCACTTGATCTAAATTCAATTCTTTGTTTAAAAAAAACAAAAAGCAAAAAACAATACAAAACGTTGTTGAACTCACTCGACATTTTCCTTTCTTTCATGTCAAAGATAAATTCCTTAATAAAAATTAGTAAGAGCAAGATGGTCATTATTTTTAGATGATTTGTGTTACGGCTCGTCCCAAAAACCAGCTCATGTGACAATCAATTAGGTAACAACAAAGTAAGAAGCCGTGTAAGGTTCACACTTCGCATCGACTCGCCTCTCTGACGCTCTCTTCAAAGCAATTAGGCAACATGACAAAGTGATTAGGACATCTCGTCCGAAAATACATTCCGTATAAATCAAAACTTGTAAAAACTTAATACCACTATAAACAAACACAATTATCGAAGTATCAAAATATTACCATATTGTTTAATACGGTCTAATAATGTATATTCCGTTTTAGAATTTTTTTTAAAGAAAAATATATTTGCTTCTAATAAAGTAATAGTGTCAACATAATTGCCTCACTGTGTTGCTAGTTGACAGTTGACACAACTGACAACCATGAAATGTAAGGAGGGGAATTTATCACCAAAAAATAAAAGGGAAATGCTATGGTGTACATCATAGGTGACAACCCCCTCACATAGGAGGTGGGTCCGCAATTTTAAAAATCACGGGCCCCCACCCATATGCGAGAAGGCTGTCAAATTGAATGTACGCCAAGGTGCACATTCAACATTATTCAAAATCAAAATCAACGGCCCACATCTTCACTTTCAGACTCCAAATCCAATGGTCCAAACTATCCCTCCTCTCAAACCAGCTTTTCTTTTTCTTTTTTCAAAGGGGAGAAAACGTTCCAAATAAAGACATCAACATACATGTCTTGTCATATTAAAATAAGAGTGGTGCTATATGTACACACAATTTTTTACACAATGTTTTA